ATATTGAACGGTTTTCATTTTGTTTTTATGTCATAAAGAAATTCAAAGTTTCATACTCAGAAATACATCAGGAATAAAAGTCACTAACTAATATTTAAACATATTGATGATTTTTCATGCACTCAATTTCATCTGAATTCTAAATACTTGGGAGATTGCCATCGTACCTTGACGGGATTTGTTAGCGTCATTGGATATTACTTCATGACGCTACCTTCTACATAGTTGTTTTCTTGCATTTCTATACATATACATATATATGTATTTCTTTTTCTCTTTCTTTCCTATCGTTTTAGTTTTCGTTTGATTATCATGTCCGCTCTCATGATGATCTCTGTGATTGCATTTCTTCTTTGTTTTCTTCTTTTTCTCTTTTTTTTTCTCAGATCATCTTCGATCTGTATATATGTTGTTGTTTTTTCTCTTCTCGATCAGTCTTTTGTCATCGTTTTCTTTAGTGTTTTATTTGATTTCATCCAATAAAACACCCTTATCATCTCGTCACTTCCAGTCACATCTGGTAGGTTCCGCGACGTGAGTCTTGATCTTACATCAGACCATTCGTTCGATTAGTGGATTCAGCTTACGATATAGTCGGTAGCTGGAGGTTTCATCACATCCCCTGATACAAGAGACTCACAGTGAATAATGGCAAATGTTCTGTACATAAACGAAATATGAGATATCGCTCGACGACGTTAAGAGAATAGGAAAATAAAAGTCGATTTGTTCCAATTTAATCAGATATTTTGATTTTGTGAGAAATCGTGGATTAAGCTTTTGACTGAATGCTTAAAAATCAGCACATTGAACTTGAAAATCGCAAATTTAATTCTCGTTTTAACTACGTATCTCAAGTAAACTTTCTATTTTATCCCGGTCGACAGATCCGATAACGGCTCCGACGTTCCTACCGATTCTCCGGTGATGAATTTGCATTGAAGCTCGTTCGTTGGTAGAAATCCAGTTAATTATTGTAAATTTTATGAGCGTTCTTTTTAGCTATATTTCATGGTGATCCAAAAAAAACCATGGAATCCGTCACCAGAAATCCAATCGGTTTCGAATATGGAATTGCTCGATCTAGGTAGTTACTAATAACTTGTAGCTAAAGTATAGCTTCTTTACTTGAGTTATCTATCTGTAAAGTAAAGTAAATATAAGATTTTTTTCCATTGTATTCAGTGATTTTTGTTGACATTAAAAGGTGTGATAAAACGTTAAAGGTCGGGAGAGTGTGAGTTTCATATCAATTCTAAATGAAGAAATACATTTTCATTGATGTTCATTATTGAATTAAAAAAAAATCATTAATAGTACAAAACAATCAAATGTTTATTTGTTTAAAATCGATATATTCATTTATTTGTTATAAATCATCGATATAAATCTACAAAATGTTTCAATTAAAAATACACGATGAAGTGCATTTAATAATTGTTGGATTATTTCACAATATTGTATACGCATTTGAGCATCTCTTTCTGCATAAATTTCCTCTTCTATCATTGTTTTCCATCCTAGAAAAAGAAGGAAAACCAAATAAACGAGAAGAAATTCTTTCTGTTAACCTGTCCATCGTTGAAAATTTTTCAACATAAATGAAAATAAATCTCGATTTTCTTCATCGATAATTAATTCTCTCGCTCGAATAATTGACCAAAACATACTCATACAAATAAATACAACAATTAGAATACATAATGTAAAAGAAAATGGACCGAGAAATACTGATGCTTCAATAAAACCATGCGCATCAAATTTTGTCAATGTCATTTCAGCTGTATTTAATAAATTCGAACATTGTAATAATTTCGATAAAAATAAGAAATGATATGAAAAGAATGGAAAACATTAAAATAAATCCAAGTCATTCTTTCGTAGAATATTTCAAAGTATAAATAAATAAACAAAGACGTTGATTAAAACGACAAAGTTTTGCCATTTTAATTGTACCAAAAAAAAAACAAGAAAATCCAATAAGAAATGATAAAAGATTGTTTATATATGAAGTTAATTGTAAATTTATATAAATATATCCATTTGTTTCTTTGAATAATTGACCAATACGTTGACATTATTTATAACGCCAAAAATAAATTCTTATACTTGCCCATGAACAAATAATAATTCCAATTTCAATAAATGACCAAAATCGATGGAAATATTTCGATTTTAATTCAAATAATGATCGTAATTCAATCGACATTGAATAAATGATAAATAACATATAAAGAATAATACAAATAATTTGATAAGTTGATGTTAATGTTTAAAAACACAAAGATGATTATTGTTGAATAATTGAAACTACCATAAAAATGAATTGAAGGATAAATTCCAGTTGATGATAAAAATTCAGCAAAAAATGTTAAAGAAATAAATAATTGAACATTTGGATTATATAAATTTAATTGAATTAAAAAATTGCTCTTGTATGTTGATCAATCCATTTCAATTGATGAAGTTCAGATAAATCCGTTTGAATATCAATAAGACGACCACGAGTTCTATAAATTCCATAATTACCTCGATAAATATATGTATCTAATGTATCATTTGATTGATATTGAAGTGCTTGTTTAATCAATGAATTATATTCAGTTGAGATATCATTTGTACATGTTTTCGATCGAAAATTTTCATATAAACAAACATTTTCCTTCGCACGTAATTGTCTCATTGTTACCCAACCAAGTATTCGATTTGATTTATCATTAATAAATCCATTGAGATTTTGAGGTGGATTACCATTGTACCATTGTTGAGCAAGGAGATTTTCAATAAAACTATTTTCTAACCAATTACAATATTCATCAACAGTTAAAATCTAAGAAAATCGTTTTTTTCTTCTTTGATTCAAATCTTTGTCATTAGAAAACATACTTTTCTATAATCGAAATCAATTTGTCGCGAATTAAGAAAATAGTTTTGTAAATGACGAACTTCTAAAGGAGAATTCCGATTTCGATCAGCATAAACAACCATATAGAGAAGTGAAAAGAAACAAAGATAAAAACAAATTTTTCGAATTATTGACCACATTTGAGTTTCTTCTAAACATTCTTGACGAAAATAACTAATTTTATGTTCATTCAATCGTTTTCTTTGAGTTAAATTTCGAGAAATAAACCGAGAATTTTCCTACGGAAAACAACAACAAGAAAAAATGTTTTGATTTCAAATTTTCTTCAAAACTAACCTTCTCTCTTTGAAGATATTCTTCATCATAATCGAAATCTGTAAAAGTATCATCTAAGAATTCAGCTGCTTCTCTACCAGTAGTCAAATTTGAACAAAAACAAATAAAAAATATCACCAATGAAACAGCCTAGAAGAAAAAGAACATAAATTTCAAACGAACTTAAATTAAAACGAAAGTTTACTTTGATCGGTTGCGTTAGAAAAACCGATGAAACGAAAGCACTAATAATCGATGTTAACCATTTTCGAGTTTCTTCATCACCAAATTCAATTCCACGTGCAATAATAAATAGAATAGAAATACTAACAAGAGTCAAACATAAATCATAAGCAATATAAATATACCACCATGGAAACATTAATGAATATTTTCTTTGAAGTTTTTTTTCATTATTATGATCATTTTCACTAAAAAATAAAAACAAAACAAAATTTTTTCAAGAGAATATTAAGACATACATTTGTGAGGATAATTCGACTTCGTTTGAAGCTTTTCTTAATGGTGTTTGTTGTGATTGATGATGACGAAGACATCGAAATAATTGGATAATTAATACACCAAGAATTAATAAAAAGATTTCCATAATCAAACCGATAATTATCTGAAAAATATCTCAAAACAAAAGGAAGAAGAAAGAAAGATAATTGAATATACTCGTTCAGGAGTTACGTAAAGAGCAGCAAATGATAAACTTCCACTGGTTTTTGAATAAATTGATTTGACTTGATTTGATAAATCATAAGAAATAATATTTAAAAACATGGAAACAAATAAAAGAACAAAGCAACATGTACATCGTTGGCCACGTGTAAATCGATTCGATGGTGGACGAGACAAAATAGAAAAGCAAAGATGACTATCGGACATACTATGATATGTTCCTTTAGACAATAAATAAGAAAATTCACGTTTTTCTATTTCATTTGCTACAGATAAAATTCGTTCAATCTATTTTTAAATCAAATTAATTCATTTAAAACACAAAACAATCAATATTTTACTTTTCCATCATCTTTTTCTACAGCAAACCATTTTTGACAAATAAAATTTGCTTGTAAATCACGAATAATTAAATATTTCAAAATCCATGATGCTTTTGAACCTTGACCTGAATTATCCTGCCAAAGATGAATACAATTTAATAATCCTAAAGATTTTAGAACATTTAAAAGAAATACATCAATTCCACCACGTTGAAATATTCGACGATGTTGATTAGAAAATATTCGAACTTCTGTATTATTATCATCACCATGGATAACAAAATAGAAATATTCATCATCTTGATGATTATTAGATAAAACTGTCACATCTAATTTTTCCAAATCTTTCTTATCATAAAAGCGTGCATAAATCATTGAAATCATATAAATAATTAAGATACAAATCACCGTTAAATAAATTGTTTTATTTTTCATAAAATTAACATTCGCAAAAACATAATTCCAATTGATTGGTGAAGGCAAAATAGAAAAACCGCCAGTAAATGTCGTTAAATGGTTGGAAAAACACTGTGTTTGATTCCAAGTTGTGAGTGGACCAACCTAAAGACATAAATTATTCTTAGAATAAAACCTCTATTACGTAAAAGCTCCTCAATGAACATTCCTTCATTCTAAATGTCAATGCTTTTTTCATGATATCAACTACGTCGATCGTATTCATTAATGTGAACATTATGAGACGGCAAATATCATGGATTTCATTGGTGCTTGGACGTATAAGACGAAAATAAAAAGATTCCCTATTCATATTCTTACACAGTCGATCATATTTGTCAATTAAATATGGCAACAAGATGATCTTATGTTGAAACTAAAGGTGAATTTAATTAAACAAAGTGAACTCGGTTCGTCTTGTAGAGACTTGAAAGAAAAATTTCATGTTTCACTTGGCTTTATTCCAAATTTTCTCAAACGAAAGCACGAATATCCTGATTTATATCCAACTCTCACTCAATTTCACTCCAAACTTGTATTTACATATATGTTGGGGGCAAAATTGAGATTTGGTCAAATTTAGAATTTGACCGGGCAAAACTAGAATTCCAATTCTGCCCAGACAAAATTAGAATTCCAAATTAGACTAGAATTTTCTTGGGCAAAATTGGGATTTCAATTCTGCCCAGACAAAATTAGAATTCCAAATTAGACTAGAATTTTCTTGGGCAAACTTGGAATTCCAAGTCTGCCCAGACAAAACTGGGATCTCAAATTTTTCCAGCACTTTCCTTTGGGCAAACTTGAGATTCCAATTTTGACCGGACAAAATTAGAATGAACCAGAGAAAA